TATCTATTAGGCCACAGTAAAATGATACTATGAAAATCAAGTTTAATAATACTATTGTTATTCACGAGAAGGTTTGACGTTTCACTTATTACTTAGGTACTCGGATCTAGCCTATCATGTTACCGAGGACTTTCGCTTTGTTAAGGAATTCGCTTTTCTCGCTGACAAGGGATATCGCGTTTCTATCCGATCCGTCTGTCTATTTGGTATATTTCTATTAGGATAGAAATAAACGAAGTGTTCTTGGAGATAGCTTATTGGATTATGATGTTCTTTTTATTGGCAAAGGCGATCGACATTTAAAGAACACTGTTCGTTTACCACTACACTACACGTTTTGATTGTGACGGGCAAAGTAGAAAGAAAGAGACCCTACGGCTGATCACCTAGCCGCTGGTGTGATCAAATGACCACCCTAACTGGGCTACCAGTCGCAACCGCTATTCGAGAAACTGAGGACCGGACGAGGTAGGAAGAGCTCACGAAACAGGCCACGGTTAAATTTTAGGGGCAAGACCTTCAGTAATAAAGAAAGCGACGAAGAAGAAGATTCGTTTACCAGCTTGGCCGTAGTTTTGTTTTATAAGTGTCTTTAACGATAGCTAATAAGCTGTGGTATTTACCCATTGTCATGCAAAATGTAAGGGAACGAACAGGTTACGAATTTGTCTTTGCCTACCTTCGTTTTATGGGTGTCTGTAACTCAAGTTCTGGTAGTCCGTGAGCTTGACTGCCATCACAAAAATGAACAATGCTTTGAAGTGAAGCCGTTCTTTAACTAAAGCTACTGGCCTCGCCAGTATAAGGTAATGGTCATGTACTAGAGGTTGTGAGGTAATCAGGCTAAACAGAATTGGAATTATATCTATTAAAATCTACGATCTAATATATAGTTTTCAAAATAGCTATATTTGTCTCACTCAGATGACATTTATTTGTGAAATTATTTTTTATCATTTTCGTCGATGAACACTGAACGCATTTTACGAACAATATGCATCGCTGAGTAAGAGCTCACCAGTTAGCGTATAAAAACAGGCGCATAAATCTCATTTTAATTAAATCCATTTTCCCTAAACCAGTGGAAGTGAAGTCTTACTACATCTACTCGGGTTCAGCGTCCGTTAAAGACACGATTTAGCGCAATGAATATTGTCTTAAAATTTGGTTTATCTTAAGCTCTACTTTGAACTTTATTACGTAAATGATATTACGTTTACTTTTTTAATTAAATATGGGCTTGAACTGTAGTTGATTCTTAAGTCGTCGTGGCCTAACGTATAAGACGTCCAGTGCATTCGTGTTGAGCGATGCACCGGTGTTCGAATCTCAGGCAGGTACCAATTTTTCTAATGAAATACGTACTCAACAAATGTTCACGATTGTTTTTCAAGGTGAAGGAATAACATCATGTAATAAAAATGAAACCCGCAAAATTATAATTTGCGTAATTACTGGTGGTAGGACCTCTTGTGAGTCCGCGTGGGTGGATACCACCACCCTGCTTATTTCGGCCATGAAGCAGTAATGCGTTTCGGTTTGAAGGATGGGGCAGCCGTTGTAACTATACTTGAGACCTTATAACTTATATCTCAAGGTGGGTGGCGCATTTACGTTGTGGATGTCTATGGGCTCCAGTAACCACTTAACACCAGGTGGGCTGTGAGCTTGTCCACCCATCTAAGCAATAAAAATAAGAATCTGAAAATACCGATTCATAAAAGGCCAATTTGTCGGTCAAACTCTGGTCGCATGTATAGTTTGAAATACTTTGACTGGTGTTTACTCTGTTACCTACCATATTCCATTGGGATTTGAAGCAACCAAACACTTCAAACGTTTGGTCTACTAAAGTCGACGTGTGCGTGTCAGAGTTTAAATCCAGACGGCATGCTCTAACTTATCTTGGAAAATACACATGCACGTTCCAGGTACGACTTTAAAATAACGTTAAAAAGAGAAGCGTAAGTAATTTATTTGCTTACGCAATAATATTAGTAACTGGATAAATGCGATACGCATGAATTGTTATCTAAATTCTAATCTTCTTTTTCTCCACCTTATCCCACTAGGTGGGGTCGGCACAGCTAATTTTTCTCTTCCATTCTCTTCTATCAACCGTCATCTCAACACCCACTCCTCTCTCTCTCATATCGTCATTCACACACTCCATCCATGTCTTCTTCGGTTGACCTCTTCCCCCTCTACCTTGCACTACCATTTCCATACATCTCCTAGTCACATGCGTCTTCTCTCTACGCATCACATGTCCATACCACGCTAACCGTCCGCTCCTTAATTTGTAGTTTACCGGGGCCACTTTCACACTTCCTCTGATATACTCATTCTTTATCTTATCCATTCTTGTTACTCCACACATCCATCTCAACATTCGCATCTCTGCCGCATGCACTCCTCTTTCATGCTTAACTTTCGTCGCCCAACACTCAGATCCATACAGCAGCATCTAAATTCTAATGTACCGTAAAAACCTCCCATTCACCACATTTCTATCAATCGATCTAACATTGTCTCTGATTAAGACGATTTTCCTCAAAGGGCAAGTATTTTTCCTTGTACATGGCTAATTAGCTAGAAATTATTCGTTGTTTCTTTGTCTATTTTAAGTTAATATCTTTCAATTAAAAAGTTATTCATTATTAAATATGAATGCCAAATTGCTAACATACCAAAACCGCGACCAATAAACATACATAGATTATCCTAAATTTTTTTACTGTCAGCGAAAGTAACAACGTAAAGTACTATCATGCTGAAATGAACAAAATCAGAGGCGTGTTTACTCATTTGCTCAATAAATAGAAATAAAACTAAGCCGATAATTACCAATATTATTTTATGTCTCGTTTGAATCAGGATATAATAACTAACCTGTGTGAACCGTTATGTTTGACAAGCAGACATACAGAGCATAGAGGAAAGCCTCCATCCAATACCGTACAGCCTTTTCACTCGAGTGATATCTAAGACACAAAAGCCGGAAATTTAAGTCGATTGAGTTATGGAACAGTTTATATTTTAGGTATTTCCGCAGATAGATATATTTTATTGCCTTTGTAGACAAACGAGCATACGGCCCACCTGATGGTAAGTGGTCACCGTCGCTCATGGACGTCAGCAATGCCAGGGACAGAGTCAAGCCGCCGCCTACCATTAAGTGCTCTCCGCAAGCCTCGTTTAAAGAAGGACATGTCATAGCGCTCAGGAAGCACCGTGGAATATATCGTCTTTTCGCATTAAAAGTGTACAATTTCCAAAAATATTCGAAATTGATTTAATATTCGGAATCATTTGGTATCACCAGTATTTTTTTCATAAATACTGTCAAAAGAGCGTAGCTTAGCTTTAGTTTTTTTTTTTTTTAGTTTACTTTTATTTTGACTACTATTAACAAAATTAATACCTACATAATTTTATCTTACTTTAAAAGACAGATAATGTAACTGGTAAAAACTAAAAAATAAATGTTGCAAAGATGATTATTATTATTAAAAATATCAGATGTTAAACCCTTAAAATACTCTCCTGTAATATTTAGTAAGTTTTCAGATTATACAGTTTTAATTCGAGAAGACGGTAATATGTTATGGAACACATAAGGGAAGTTTGTCACGGCTATTTTAATAGAAATATCTTAGCTTGTACATATTTGCTGGCCCAGTGGGCAGTAGTCGAGAAGGTACGATATTAACGACCTTTGCCCTTTGGAAAGATGAAGTTTGATCTAATGGAAGGATACTAACCACTTTGAGAAATAAATTGATATTAGGTCTTGAACCTAATCATAAGTTTTGACTAGTTTAGTCACCAGGAAATCACGCGTTAAGGTTGGAGATAGCTGCTATCCCTGGCATTGCTGAAGTCCATGAGCGACGGTAACCACTCACCATCAGATGAGCCCTATGCTCGTCTGCCTACAAGGGCAATAAAAAAATGCGACTGATTTTGTCCAAATTCTTGTATTTGTTTGAAATTAGGGCAGTTTTTGTACAGTTCATAATTTAACTTCCTGACTAGGTATGTACCTATGAGCACGCTGTGAACTTTGCGGGTACTGGTGATCACTTGCCATCAGGAACGTACGCTGGTCTTCCCATTTAAAGCACCATAATATAAAGGTGGGATGAAATATTTCGTGAACAGTTTCAACACGAACATTTCTATCACTCCAGTCTTTGCGTAGCCAATGGTAACTGATCTTAGTTGTAGAGATAGGTACCCGAATAATTAAATACCATGACCGTCGCGATTTTTAGACGCGATCATAAATACTACAGTAAAGATTTTTTTGATTTTTACAATTTAGTCTAATAAAGATCACAGTGTTGTGGAAATGGCCTATATTTCTGCAATTAAATGGTTAATGGGCCTTTATTAGGAGGTTTATGTGTGTTAGTCTCAGTCAAGGCTCGGGAACAGTTCGTCAAGCGTTTTATTAGTTTATTGACACAAGTTTCTACTAAGGTTTGTTCCTTTAACTTTTATGATCTATCTTAATTTTGTAGCGCTATTATTGCGATGAGGTATTAATTCTTCTCACTCCTATATCCTTATTGTAATTAACGTACCTTTCTAGATATTCAGACTTAATTTGTGATTTATAGTCACTTTTACAATGACTTTAAACCTTTTTAAATTAATTACTTCATTTCACCATAAGCCTGTCTTATATTTATGATATATAATAAATATCGGACTGTTAAACAAATCATGAATCATTATTATATACTCTACCTGTGTAATGTAGGTAATTGGGTTATTAATATTTAAAAAATATAAATTAATATTTAACAATGACATGGAAGCGTTTTAAAACTTGAAATCGCTTATAATTTTTCTGAATTATTTTTCGATACATGAATAATAATGGATATGAAAAAAAATCCATTCACTCTCCCAGTTTGAAAGTACCAGGCGACCATGAAAGGAAAGGGGTATTACTCGCTCACGTACAACGTTAACAGGGTAATGTTACTCACTTTTCGTCAACGACTCCTCCGGGGACTCGTCCTAGCTACGAGAAATATTTCACCGGCACCACACACACAGGTTTACTTCAACGTTTCATTTAACAAGCACATAAAAAACTGAACGTGTGAAACACCACGCGTCAATCCAATTTATAAGGCCAGCGTCAACGTCACAAAACAAAGTCTTGTATTTTCCAAAAAAAAAAAATTATCATCAAGTTACGAAAATTTTGAGATTTTAACGCGTCAGTCCGAGGCTGACTGGCGTTTGGAGCACACTGAAATGAGTAAGCCCGGCCGTCTTTCCAACTATCTCCGTCTCGTTCGCACTCGCACAGTATTCCCGCTGTGTACTGTGCGTCTCGCTTTGGCGACCTGAAAGAGAGCGTGGCGAGAGTACTCGTAATACGTATAGGTCAATATGAAACCTTCTCGGGCGCTGGAGGCTGCAATTAGGGTGTCAATTTATTTCGTTGAAATATTAGTATTTTCCCGATGACGGCATTTTATTTACAAAAAAAATGGCAGCTCAATTATTTGTCAATTATTTAAAAAAATCAAATAAAAAATAGTTGTAAAATAATTACGTTTGTTTTTTAATAGCAAAAAACATTCAGGTGATTTCATTGAAATCTAAACCCAATACACTTACGAGACACATTAAGCTTGTATATTTTTCTCTCTTCACACAACTACTTTGTCTACATTTTTGCGGAAATCATTGCGACCCTCCCCCGTCGGCTTCAGACCGGCGACGTCGCGCATGCGCCCCTCGCTTCGGCTCCCACATCGGCTCGACACACACCCCTGAAAATTAATTATTTCAAACTCCATACAAACGACTGGCAGATATTAATCACTTCATTGATTAAGCTTAATGAATAATTGATCAGAAAAAGAATACGTTATTTTTGTGTTCGCCATTCATTTGCATCTTGGCGAAGAGTAGAACTGATTATTTCAAAATTTGTTTTAAAAATAGTCAACCCTTTCGTATAGAACTAACATCCGAGGTAAAAGTATTTTTTTGGAACGAAGTTCCTTATGGGACGATGCGGAGGGGTACCCTAACCGGGAAAAAACGTAAGATTTTTATTATTTATGTGTAGTCTTAGTATGATGGCTATACAGTGTGTAATGTACAGTCTACGTGATGACCGTTATTATTATTATTCATATAAATAGCTGTTTCTTTGTATATTATTATTATATATTTTTTATTAATCATTGTGAATAAAATAAAGTTGATAACTTTGTAAAGTGGTTTTTATTTTTATCAATAAAAAAATTGTTCTTATCCGGTATCCCACCACAACACACATCTTTTTTAATTATGAAGATGGGTTCGGTTGTAAGGTTTAGTGGTAAGGCATATTTTCAATTCGCACAAGTAAAAACATATTTTTTTATTGCCCTTGTAGGCAGACGAGCATACGGCCCACCTGACGGTGAGTGGTTACCGTCGCCCATAGACTGCCTACCGCTTAATACTCTCCGCATGCCTCGTTTGAAGAAGAACATGTCATAGCGCTCGGGAAACACCGTGGAGGAGCTCATTCCATAGCCGGATGGTACGTGGCAAAAAATACCTCTGGAAACGTATTGTGGATGACCGCAGTGGCAGGTAGTATGGATGAACTCTACTCCGGTGGCGGGCGGTGCGATGGTAAAAATGAGATGAGGGGATCATCTCGAACAATTCGAACAATATTTGGGAGGATTACCGGGAAAGCCCGTCCTGTGCCGAAGAGTATGAAGGTTTGCAACTGAGATTTCAACCTCATATCTTAAGGTGAACAGTGTTGATTATTATAGTATCTCTCAATTACGCTTATAAACATAAAGTTTTTTTTTTTCAACGACATTAATAAGTTTATATATACTTGTACGATAATAAAAACTATCTTCTTCTGCTACCGTGAGCAATAGCAAAATCAATTCTAGCTTATCCCCGTTAAAATTGACATCTAATTGACTCCTATTTATCAATTACTAGAACATCACAATGTTGAAACAAAACAATTAGATTAACGAAGCATCATAACAATCATTCGATTGTTTCAATTTAATTTTATGATAATGAAAACCTTTTTGTTGATTGCCGAAGTCGATAACACGACGCTGTGTTTAAGTGAATTGATAATTATGTTTGTATTAATCAGATTCGCGGCTGTAGGCATTTAATTTGTTTAAATCTCGTTAAAATGATTGAATCGCGACGGCAGAGTCACTGGTTTGAATTTGAGCCAGAGATATTTGTGTGATTTTTGATTATGATCGCAAATGAAGTGTAGCGATCTTGCATAATACGGTCCAAGCACTTCAGATGAGGAGACATGGTGTCAGGGTCCTTTATCAGAACAACTATAGGTAGTTATCTATATATATATATAAATGAATTGCTGTTCGTTAGTCTCGCTAAAACTCGAGAACGGCTGGACCGATTTGGCTAATTTTGGTATTGAATTATTTGTGGAAGTCCAGAGAAGGTTTATTTAGGTAAATAAATATGAAAATACTCGGAATTATTATAAATAAAAATAATAATTTTGTTTTTCCTTTGATGTGTCCCCCGTCGGATGGATTCCTTTTGTTTGTTTTAAGTTTATTTTATACAAAAGTTTATCGATCGAGGCAATACGAAGTCTGCCGGGTCAGCTAGTTAGTTATAAAAAATTAAATTCGATTTTAAAAACCTGAGCTATTTCAGAATCCGTAGCGCGATCCAATGAAGGTCCTAAGAGGATTTTATCTTTAAGATCTTTGCTTCCGAGTGCGAACCCTAATTTATCAATGTACACCTTAATTTACTTTTGACTAAGCAAAATAGGGTGTGCAGTAATTTCTGGGTTCTTTCGTTCGTGATAAAAAGGTGTTTTTAATCAGGCCCCGACGTTCGGATGTTTTCCCGATCTAAATGCGTCGTCCTCCAAAGTATTTAGGGAAAATTGTTTGAATTACGAGCAAATTGGGAAAAGTTTCGTTTATATAAGGAATTTTGAACGGAATTGGTACATGATTTAGGAATTCTAGGCCACGAAGCATTCTACTTATAATTCAACAATGGGTTAATTCAATCTTAAATATACTTTTTTTTGGCTTAGATGGGTGCACGATCTCACAGGCCACCTGGTGTTAAGTGGTTACTGGAGCCCATAGACATCTACGACGTAAATGCGCCACCCACCTTGAGATGTAAGTTCTAAGGTCTCAAGTATAGTTACAACGGCTGCCTTACCCCCTTCAAACCGAAACCCATTACTGCTTCACGGCAGAAACAGGCAGGCAGGGTGGTCGCACCTGATACACAAGAGGTCCTACAGTAATTATGCAAATCATAATTTTGCGGGTTTCATTTTTATTACACGATGTTATTCCTTAACTGTGGAAGTCAATCATGAACATTTATATATAAGTACTTTTAGTATATATGTCGGCGCGCTGCTTAGATCACAAAGCGCATCCGCACCCTTTGTCAGCGAGCGCCGCCGGCACACCTGCAACGGTCGACGGCAGGCGGCTTGGATCACAGAAGGCGTCGGCACCCTTTGATGGCTCGGGTCACCGGAATATTTGCAACGATCAACGGCAGGCGGCTTGAATCACAGAGCGCACCGGCACCCTTTGACGGCTCCGGTCACCGGTACACTTGCAACGTTCGTGGCGGGCGGCTTGGATCACATACCGCAGCGGCACCCTTTGATGGCGCGAGTTTCCGGCACACTGGCTGACTATAAAAAGAGCTGCTGTACAATCCTTAGCTCAGAAGCGAGCGAGTCACCGTATCAGACAGAACGCTCCTGCGTAATATACGCTCTGAGTTAACATTTCTGGTTTTATTGACTTACGAAGACCACCCGCTTACCATGTCGCTACCCGAAAGTGGAAATACTCCAACATATATACATAAGTACTTTTCATTTTAGCGTATTACGTAAACATATATTTGTATATATATGTTTATGTATATACAAATAATCAGACTAAAAACAATCATCAATTATTTTCAAATAAATCTTTCGCAGTCCATCAAAATTCAACTGGAGTACAATTGGATTCATTAATGAGGACGTCTTGTGTTATATGTGTATTAAAAAGTATTGTGTGGATGTGTTATTTGTTTGACATAAAATTTCCATTCGTTATATATGAAAAAAAAATGCCTGAATTTTCAACGTTTAAAATTTATCTTTGAACATTACCCGTCATCTCGATTATGCAAACAAATCGATCAACGTCAACCATGTGTGTAATTAAAACAAAATCTTTTGTCGTGATTGAGTGATTACTCCGCGATTATGTCGTGTGCGCTTCATCTATCATGTTAGGACTGTTCCCTTTCGAAGGGATGATTGATTCGGTCCTTTTGATGTTTTCCAAACGTTTAAGGGATCGACGGGGCAGTTTTGAAAAGTTTTCATAATTTTGCATAATTTTTTTTTGTGTTCATTCAAATTTGACTAGTAGATTCTGATAGCTTACTCTTGGTACTCTGCATTTTTTTTTATTGCCCGTGTTGGCCGAGCATACGGCCCACCTGATGGTGAGCGGTTACCGTCGCTCATGGACATCAGCAATGCCAGGGGCAGAGCCAAGCCACGGCCAACCGTTTTATACTCTCCTTCAGTTTTTATTACATTAATGAGTGAAAGGACTCACAGCCGACCTGGTTAAGTAGACACTGAGGTTTATAAGGACTATAACGTAAATGACACCACGCGGCTTGAAATAGTACTCTCAATTGTATTTTATAATAGCTATTCCAATCTTCAAAGCGAAACGAGTGACCACTTTTGAACAGGATCGCAGTTCATACCTCTGTAGGCCTTATAATACCGTTACGCTGGTTAACGCCATCTATCGTCGAATAGCAGAAACGAATATATAAAAAAACTAGTAAAATCGAGAATGCTCGAGAACTACTCGACCTGTCAGGCATGTTCTCGATAATTCTAGGGATGTCGTATCGAGTATAAAATCATTGCAGAGATGACACGAAGTTAGTTAGTAAGCGATTCTACTCGAAGCGAAACAGCGAACGGGTCCTCTTGTGAGTCCACGCGGGTAGGTACCACAACCCGCCTATTTCTACCGTGAA